TGCAATGTACCCTGTTTCTGAGTCTGTTCTCTCGACTTCTTCCATCACACAAGGCAATACTGTATCCTCAAGGATCCTTCCTGAGTACTTACGCCGGAGGATCTTTGCACTGCTCAAACATAAACTGTAACACAAGGAAATTCAGAACATGGACACCTTGCTTTGTATTATGTAAGTACGTTTCTTGTGTCTGCAGACCGCAGAAACGCTAGTCAGCAACTTGTTATGAAGAACCCCCCTCAACAAAAACAAGCAACAAACTCTGAATCCCGCCGCTTATACAGTCATAAGACAACTCTATAAGACTCTGTAGCAACCCCTTAAACTTCCTGTTCATCTCCAACCCTGAACTACAAATGATTTAGTTAAATCTCAGACCCAAACCCCAAACCTGACACGCGAAAAGCTCAATCGTAGTCCTAGTCTTTGAAAGGCCAGAGAGCTGGAAAGAGATGGCAGGAGCAGCGCGGCCCAGAAGCGCTTCCTTCACGGCAGCTGGACACACCGGTTCGAGTCTTTGTTTAGGGTTTACCTAGACCCCCCAAAGTAGGTAAAATAATGGCACAAAACCCATACAAGGCTCTTATTCTACATACTGTTGGGGTCCAGGTAGGTGTTTTGTGTCAGGTTGAGGGCCGTAATCCAAAGGTAAAAGGAGGGACCCTTAATAAGGACCCCTCAGGTATATACCCTTAATATAGCCATTATATACCCATTATATACCCCTATTATAGGGTAGGGGTCCCCATGAAGGGTCCCTCCTTTTCCCTTCGACGTAAAGACTTGAGAGCTAGGTCAGACGCAGCGAAGTTCTTCTCTGAGCGCTTACTGTTTTAGTGCTTCAGGGGGTTTGGGTTTGGGGTTTGGGGCTTCAGTTTTAAAGATTTGGGGTTTAGGGGTAAGGGCCTATAAGTAGGGTCTAGCATTCGGGGAAAGACGTCCTGATAATGCGCGACTTCAATGCAATCCAAGGGCAGAAACCCCTGTTTCCAGCCCACGTTCGCCTTCATAGCATCGTGTGGGTATGCTATGGCAGAACTTTAAGGACAATACCAGGGGACATCTGGATCGTACTGCCAGTTATTCAGATCTCTATCGCACTGAAGGTCTATGGGGAGGGGCAACAGCAAGTGGTCGCACTCCTACAGCGCCATTCTCTAGTGCATAGCATAGCATAATTGTTGTCGTTCTGGCACAGTTGTTACTTGCAAACCTTGTACCCTAATATCCCCAGCAACCTAGGAATAAAACAAGGTCCCTCTTTGATCTTTGGTATTCTGTAGTGTTATATGGAACGTACGACACTAAAAAGGAAAAGGGCCCACTGGGAGACCTACTGTGGATGGACAATATCCTGCATGACCCAATATGAGGAATATACCATAATTCCCGCAGTTTCGGGTCCTTAAGGTCATGCAGGATTTTGTCCATCAGCCGTCGAATCAGAGAGCTCTGGGCCCCAACCGAAGCCTCAGCCCGGGCCGAAGCCAAAGCCTACAGAATCCTGGACTCCAAAGGGAACTCCAGAAAGTTGGAACCCTTAATGGGGACCCCTACCCTATAATGGGCCATATCGTAGCTATATTAAGGGTAGGGTCTACTTTAAAGGGAACTCCAGAAAGTTGGAATATGGTTTAAGGGTAGGATCCCCTATAATTTACCTTAGAGGGGTTAGGATAATCATATTCCAACTTTCTGGCTTCTACTGTACACCAAAAACACAAAAGCAAAGCCCATCATTTGCAGACCTCTTCGCGACTTAAGCCAGTGCTAAAGTTCTTGTGGTTTGGAGCTGGGTGGGGGCTCGAGACGTAGAACTCGGGGGTCCCAAATGGGATAGTTAGTACGATCTTGAGACTGAGTGCTGCATACCAGAGACATATGACATTCCCAGATGATGAGGATCTGTCGTGTTACCAGACATGTCGTCATGCCGAGGCGCCCATCCGCGATGTGCCTGCCTTGCGAAGGAACTAGCTACGAGGAATCTAACCCCTAAACGAGACTGCTACATCCCGAACCCCAGATGTAACCTTACACAAGCTTATGGTGTTGTAATTGTAGGCTTGTTAGGCTGAGGCCGAGCCCCAAGATCAATCTAACGGACCCCAAACGCGACCCTTATGCGTCAGGGCCTAGGATTTAGGGTTGAAGATGCCGGGCTCTCGACATTCTTAGATTAAGGAATGCTCCTTAAGGTTTAGGGTTTGGGGTTTAGGGATACAGTTTAGGGTTATGGTCAGGGCATGGGGTTTGCGGCTTCAGGGTTCAGGGCTCGACCCTCTGAGTGTATGCAAGCCACCACCCCCTCTTGACAGGCCTCGCCATTGGGACCTCTATCATAATCTTAACACTTGCAGTTAAGACCTACCTGGAGCCGAAAAGACCTACCTTTTGGGGGTTCCTTAATATGGTTTCTAGATATAGTTCCCCCCAAAAAAGTAGGTCTTTTGGGCTACAGGTAGGATCTGTCTTCAACAGCAAAGGTCCAGAAAGTCCCAAAACGGAGAACCCTAAGCTGGTCGGCAATTTGCTACTGATTTATGTCCTTGGTAAGCCTAGGTGGGGCTTTGAAAGCTTTTGAAAAATACCTAGTAAGCTCATTGTATTTCCTAAGTGTCCCAGCAGAAAGTTTCATCAGGACTCATAGGGCTTACTGTTAGGTTATTACCATCTGATAGGTTTGCAAGTAGAGCCAAAGCCAAGCACATACATCTTCGAAAGGCAGCCCAACTAAGAGGGCATCCCAGCCTTTGGAGGTCTGGCCCCCCTCACCCTGGTTGAGGGCTTAGGGTTTGAATTGGGATTAAGGGCTTAAATGGGAGTTTCCGAAAATAGGGGACCCTAACCTAGTACCCTAAATCATAGGATCCTTATTATAAGGACCCCAAAATAAGGTCGGAAACTCCCAAATGTACAGGATGTAGGGAGAAGGACTTGCCTGAAGTGAGGCATCGTCTCTTGCAGACCTCCTGAAGATTCCCTCGAGGCTGACCTAAACCCTAAACCCTGTATAGACCCTAAACCCGCAAAACCTAAACCCTGTCTTATACCCTAAACCCTAAACCATGTACCCTAAGCCCGCAAACTCTACAACCCTAAACCCCTAGACCCTTCAAGTATCACCCTAAACCTTAAACCCTAAACCCTATACCGCTCTTTTGAGGAATGTCGTTTCGGGCCCTGCTCGCTCAGCCCGGCACCAATCCACACTTGCCACCTGGGCGAGGGGGCGTCGGGCTTTTTATGAGGCTTGGGGTTGAGGGGTTTAGGGGGTTTTGGGGTTTCGGATTTATGGTTTAGGGGTTTAGGGTTTAGGGGTTTAGGATTTAGGGTTTAGGGGTTTAGGGTTGTTTAGGGGTTTTCTGGACTCGGATTTGGGCATCAAGAGTTTGGCTTGACAATAACATGCTCGTAATATGCGGCGTACTCCGGAAGCCGAGATTAGACCGGATTTTAGAGAGCCCTCAAGCAGCTGCGGGCTTGCCTGGTCGTAGTAATGGTTAGGGAACATTTATTTCATGGGTCCTCAATAACTAAGTGGTACGGGTCCTACTTTATTCCTTCCCCGGAAACTCCTTCGAGCTGTCTGCCTCCAGATACGAAGCCCCGGAAATCCTGTAAGGCAAAACCCACATGCTGAACCGAAAAGGCCAACGCCTGACCCAACTCACCATCCCGCTGACACACACACACACACACGCGCGCGCGCACACAGAACAAGCAAGCCAAACTCCCAAGCCTGAAACTTAAACAATTCAGCCCCAATTGCCCTCAACTCCAAAACCTTACAAGCAACACTAAAACTAGCAAGAAACCCGCGGGCCCTGGAAGAAAACACGAATGCTGCGGAGCCACATTTGCCCAGCCACCAGACGTCGGGCCTTCCGCCAGCGCCTTTCTCAGCCTCAGCCGCGGCTTCAGGGTTTGGGGGGTCATTTGCAGCCTCGATACAACACTTAAAGTTTAAAGGGCAACTTATAGAACCTCAGTATTGGGTCCGTCTGACCCTTTGAGAAAGAGGTTTCGGAGGGCTCAGGTCTAAGAAGTCCAGACGTCGGTCTATCCATTGAGATCTGAATCGACATCGGGTTAAACGTCAACGGCAAAGCCAGGATCAGGGTGCACGATTTCTTTTCCGAATGCTTACGTGACACTGAGCTTTAAAACCCCGATGCCGCAAAGCCCTGCGACGCCCTGCGCACACCCTCTAAGCCCCACATAGTCTAAAGCGTCAGACACTACGTTCGAAACCTGTGATCCCTTGGCCTGAACCCTGAACTCGAACCCTGAAACCTTCGAACCCCCCTATAAGTGGGTTTAGAGTGTATAGGGTTTAGGGGTTTAGCCTTCAGGGTGAAGCCCCGACACCACCTCATCTAGGCGAGCGACCAGGGCTTCAGCTCCTCCATCCAGGACTCCTTTTCCTTCAAAGAAGCGACCATTTCACTGTATAATATATATATATATATATATATGATAGAAAACATATAATACATAGTACATACAATATATACATATATATATATATATATACATACATACATACATATATATATATATATATATATATATATATATATATATTATGAGTTTATGAGTTTGGGGTCTTTACGGTTTGGGCTTCTGGTCTCACAGTTTGGGGCTTCCGGGCTTGACGGTCCTAGGGTTTAGGAAGACGGGGTCAGACTTCACCGAGGAATGTAGTAGGGACGTTCCTTTGCTTGAAGCTAATCCTAATAAAATGCCGTCGGGAGGATGAGGATTGTAGCACAATCCCTACTACTGATTGTTGACTGAGGTGGGTAGGATGTGGATTGTAGTGTTTTGTGTTCGTCTCAGAGAGCTTAACACAGCTTCGTTGCCGATCAAAGGCGAGCAACCTCAGGGACACTATGCAAGACGGCTTTTCGACGCTCGCTTCTTGCTCCCACCGAACATGAGTTGGCCTGCCGCACTGCTGCTCTTCATACCAAGCAGGCACCGACTTCTAAACACCATTATTCTCGAGTCATTTCGACTCGCACGGCCGCGTGAATCCGCCATTTGGAGATGTTCGACTCCTCTACTTGGTGCCTAGTTGGATGCACGCCGGCGGTATGCACCAGCACACAAACGAAGCTCTGAGCCAAGTCCACGCGCAGGGAACCAAGCAGAAACATAAGGGAAAATTTGGTTTCTATGGACCCACCTTCAGTGTCACGGATTTCAAAGCTGCTCTCGGCATACTTAAAGCACGACTGCAGCTTCTGCGTGCATCTGAACAGGAAAGCTATACCGTTTCGCAAATCTCTTCTTGATTCCGGCAAGCCTACGTCTTCTTTCACTGGAGGCATCAGATGCATCTGGTTCAGAATCTTCATCGCCCGCGACTTTGCAACTTTCGGCTCGAGATTCGGCTGGAAGCTATAATATTTGTGCCAACCGCTGTCCCCGCCCCCGTCGTCAGACAGTGGCTCCGCAGCGTTACCCTGAGGGTCGAAGTCTTCGCTATCTAACCAGCCCCGGGGACCCCGAGCAAAGTTCTCCCGTGCTGCAGATCATACCGTATATGACCCCTTTCTGCGACATTGCAATACAGACGCCTCCGTGCTGAACTCGGGGTCCCAATCGCGACGGAGTATGATGGTGACGCCTTTAGGGTGATCGTCAAATTCCTCGAACTCCCATTGCATCGCGAGACCACGTGCCACGACCTCGATGGTGATGAGGTTGTGAAAGCTGCGGCACACCTTTTGCAAGTTTAGCACGGAAGGAGTCTCACAGAAGGGGAAGAGGGACTCCTTACGATAAGCTCAGAAAGGCTTTGCATCTTTGCAAAACGAACAGCAGGCTAACATCTTGCGGCTTTGAACCGAGATCCTGTCATGCAGCTTTGCGTTGCTGGCACACGACCGAAACAGTACAGTAGCACACAGGCATCAAGATCAATGTCATCATCGTCGTCCTCGTCATCACTCAACCTGAACCTACAACCTTAAAGCCTGAGACTTAAATCTGTAAATCCCCAACCCCTAAAGCCGAAACCTCTATGTGTTTGGCTACGGCTACAGCATTGCTTCAAAAGGTTCTCCAACTTTACGCGGCCAAGGTGTCATAGGCTTGGCTCAAGTCACTCACAATCAGAAACGTCTCAAAATACTGTAATTGTAACCTACATGTAGTTATTACATCCATATTACACTTTCGCAGTGTTTAAAGACAGTGACAGCAACAGTACTCACAATAGACACTTTCGACATCTTCGGACCCCGAGAGAGCAAGGATGTATGCTTCGTTGAGGGGCAACAGGGCCCGTGAAGAAGGCCTCGCTAGTCAGCGCCGCTGAGAGTGCGAGCAAAGCAGCCTGCGCGTTCAGGAATCTCACTTTGAGCCCAGGCGCATTGCCCCCACTAGGGTTTATGAGGATTTTAGGGCTTAAGGGTGTAAGGTCTTGGGGTGAACTCGTTAATCCCTAGATCCTGTTGTAAACTTAACATAGGTGTAACAGAACCTGCAGTAGCTTGCGAGTCTTTTTCGGATCTTTTCAGCTTGCGCTTGGGGCCTCCTAAAAGCTCATATATCCGAGATTATCATGGGTATTTTCTAGTATGTTATAGTACGCTGTAGCGGATTGTAGCGTATTAGTTAGTATATTATAGTATATTAGAGCATGCTACAGTATGTTATAGTTTGGTAGCCTACTATAGTTTAGGTTTAGGTACGTCAGGTTGCTGGTTGCTGAATCTATTCATGTTTGGAAGATCCGAAGATTTGGTGGAAAGATCACAGCTCGGAGTGGAGGTACAGTATGTTGTTCTTCCCGGCAAGACTCTGCTCTTTCACGGCAAAGGCACCAACATTTCAGCACTATATTCGTTGGTTGGAAGTCCAAGACGATCTGGGATTCCGGGTCAATTAAAGCCAAAAGCAAAACAGCCTTGATATGAGCACTTTTAAGTCTAAATATGTCAGCCCTTTGTTTGAGAACCCCACTTCCTGACCCTTTCACTACCAGGGCTCGGCCAGTGTCAGCTTCGGCTAGTTGGAGGATGTGCGTACGGCGGCAAAAACGAAACCACAGACGCCCAAAAACAGCAGGATTCGGGACTTTTCGGAGGATCTGAGGTTGGCGGGTTGGAGTTTAGGTTTGGGTTTGGGAGATGCAGGGATTTACAGAAAACTATACGACGGTCACTCCCGTCGCGATGCCTTGTCTGTTGCAGTGGTGGTGGGGTGCAGGGTTTATGGGTTTAGGTGGTGCAGATGAAAAATGAAAATACATCTTAAGGATGGGCATAGGTAAACCCTAAACCCTAAACAGGGACAAGCCAAAGCCTCGAGCTTGGGAGTCCCAAATTTCTACACCCAAACCATACAGCGACCCCTTTACCTTCAAACTCCAAAACCTTGAGGGCCCATTTTTCGGTCTGTCTGGGCATCCCGCGAAGGAGAGTGTGGGGCTCAAGGGTTGGGGTTCGGGGTCGTTTGCTTGTCCTAAGGGTCCATGTACCTAAATAGTATATACATTGGCCTTAAAGTACTCCCTATACGGGTACATTGGGCCTAAGGTATATACTATTTGGGTACATGGACCCTTAGGGCAAGTGCCTATTGCAACGATCATGACACCGCCACATACGATTCTACACAGACTTCAAACTACCACCCTAAACCCAGGCGGCTGCCTATTGGTATCTATTGGTGTAGAGCCCATGCTGCACCTTAAACCCTCAACCCCCCGGACCCCGTGCAAAAATATAGGGGCATGAATGATTACCGATACTTTTCTGGGTGTTACTGATTCTATTGATAGTATAATGGAACCCAAAGCCCTATTACAATTATTAAGGCCCCTGTATCAGCCCCTTCGACCCCAAGCTCTACCGCCCCTACAATGTGGCCTTAATAAGAAGACTGGGGCTTTGGGGGTCCGTTCTACTGTACTTATAATAAGCAAACCCGAAATAGCAGTAGTAATTATTTAGGCCCCTATATAATATCATCGAAGGACGGAGAGAGCCTCGCCCTTTGCGGTATCCTGCGAGCTGTTGCGATTGGACGACAGTTGAGAAACAGCTGCCTTTTGATGCTACACTGGTTATAGTAGACACTTGGGCTTTTAAGATGAAAAGATGGAAAACTAGCTTTCGGATTCAAGTAATCGGGGGTCAACAAGCTTACGCTCATACGTATATATAATATGGATTAGAAGTTGCCCCCACCCTGTAATAGTGACTATAAGGATTATATTAGGGCCGTATTTTATTCCTATTATACCACTATTACAGGGTGGGGGCCCCTTCTAAAATATGGAATTTAAGATCGAAAGCTTAGGGTTCTTATACATAGAGGGGGAGGGATGCATGAATAGCTACAACGAGCATGTGTGACAAGACCATCACTTAAAGACTGTATGGTTTAGGGTTTCAATGCTTACGCGTGTTGTGGGCTAAGGGTTGGAGTTGTTTTGCACATGCTCACGGCAACTCAAAACGTAACCTCATTCTCGCCTGGAAGGATAAACAACGGCTTGACATCTGGGAGTTTCCGAGAATAGGGAACCCAAATATAGTACCTTAAAATTGAAAAATAGGATCCTTATTATAAGGACCCCAAACTAATGTACCCCCGCAATTTTTGGAAACACCCACATCTGAATCCGAACGTTGAGGCCGTCCTCTGAGGCTGCGTCGAGCAGAGACTTTGCATCGAAATTGGCCTTCCTGGCTTAGGGTTTAGGGTTTAGGGTTTAGGGTTTAGGGTGCACAATGGTTAGTGAATTCTAGACAGACTCTAGCCTCGATTAACTGGTGCGGTCAAGCAACTCCATCACTGTACCAAGTTGTGTAAGGGTTAAATCATGTTGCCGCTGAGTTGGTGGATGGATAAACCGAAATCTCAACACGAAATGTTGGGACACCTCCGAATGGCTATCTATCTATCTACCTATCTTATCTGTCTTGCCTATTTATGTATTCAGTCCATCTCTGCATCTATCTATCTATGCATCTGTCTATATACATATGTACATATGTATATACAAAGGACCCTTAAATGAGGAACCCCAATATGGATTCAAGAGCTCCCTATATCGGTGCCGCCTCAAGGCACGGATACCAAAACGATCTGCCGCGGCTGCAAGGCCCAAGGACCTCAGAGAATCATTCAGTTTTTGGCCGGTGTTCGCAGCTTGGGATTAGGTTGGGTCTGGGGTTTTGGGGCTTTGGGTTCAAGGTTTCAGGGGTTCAGGGCTTTGGGCTTGGGATGAAGGGGTAGATGTTTAAACGCAGATTCTGTCATGGGGCCTTGGGAACTTTAGAAACTTTTGGGGGCTTCGGTTTCTCCTGTAGAGCCCTATCAGGGTGTTAGCATCGGCAGATGGGGTAGAAGTTTGGGGTCTGAGGTTAGGCTTTCGGTAATGTTCGACAGTAATGTAGGCAAGCCCTGTGTGGCCTGCATCGTAGCCGTACTCTCTCCACTCCGCTCAAGCCCCACCGTTTGGAAACCAAAGACGCAACAATTTCTCAGAATTTGTAGTGTCAGACGTGACAATGGTGGGCCCTAATCACCTAATCATATCCCGAGTGGAGGGCCCAAACCAGGACTTCTGAGATTGCGTCATCATCGTATAGTCGCATCAATCAACCCTGGAACAGTGGTAACTACGTAGGCCTTTGTATTACACCAACAGATGGTGAATTGACTGGTTTAGATGAGGACAAGGCAGGGAGTGCTCTGATGGGTCCGAATACGTTTTTGGGAGAAACTTACTACCAGTTGAAGCTGTTCTGTGTGACCTGTGCACCTTAGTCCGCCTTTCCGCCCCTCTAAATAAGTCTTAAGCCTCTTCCATGCCTGCCCTCCTGGAAGAAATCTAAAACCCTAAACTCAAATCCCTCTTCAACCATAAACGATCCGAGGTAGTAGCTCTAAATACGTGAAATCCGAAATATCTTCCAGATTTATGCATATAATAGAACTGATTATACACATATTTTCCTGCATTCGAAGCAATGAAAACATCAATATAAACGATATTTCCTACATCATATATTCTTTTTAAGAGGGGTGGTATAATCCCGCGACCAACCCTTACTACACCCTTTAAAGGACTCCTAGATCCTGAAACTCCTGGGGTTGAGAGACTGGAGGAGCCCTAAGCCAAACAGAAATTCAGCACGAGAGGCGGGTGCCGAGCCAATGTGGTGATAAGCACCTGCCAGAAGAAGCGCAAGCAAACCCTAAACCCCAAAAAAGGCCCACTAAGGACACATAGACCCCTAAGAAGGTATTATAAGCTATGGCAATCTTAGAGGTCATAAACCCTTACCTAGAGGGATGGCGGGCAGCACCTCTGCAATCCTAGCTGTTTCGATCCATG